GCATGCTCAAGTTGAAGAGCTTGCCCACTCTTGCTCCAAATGCACACTTACTCCGAAGTCGCCAAGGAAAGCAGAACTCCATTGTTTGCCGGATCCTGGGAAACCATGGTCGAGAATGCATGCCGATTATGCTGAACCTATTAATGGAAACAATTTTCTTATTCTGGTTGACACCTACAGTAAATGATCAGAGGTACTGCACATGCCATCGACTACTGCTTCAGCGACTATTAATGCACCTCGTCAGGTTTACAGTCGCTTCAGATGTCCGGACACATTAGTGACTGACAACGGAACTCACTTCACTTCAGCGATTTTTGAGGACTTTGCAACGAAAACGGTATAACTCATATGGGTTCACCTCCATACCATCCACAGTCGAACGGCCTAGCAGAGCTATTCGTGGACGCCTTCAAGAGAGCATTACTGGAGGTGAAGGGGGAGGGACTGACGGCCGAGATCCTTGAGACTTTTCTCTTTGCCTACAGGATAACTCCAAATCCGCAGGTACCTCAGGGTAAATCTCCGGCTGAAGCGCTGATTCAACAGAAACCGCGATCCAGCCTTGATTTGCTTAAACCACCTGAAAGGAACAGCCTGAAGCTAAACTACAAAATGGAACAGCAGTTCAGCTGGAGACACGGTGCTCAGAACCGAGTTTTCTTCAAAGGGCAACCTGTGCTGGCAAAGGATTACCGCAACAGCCAGGTTCCCTGGACTCCTGGACTTATCATTCGTCGAATTGGAAGTGTCACGTATGACGTTGCTTTTAATTTCGAGGTTTGTGTCCTACACACCAATCAGTTACAATTCCGTTCCTTTCCGGATGCATCACCAACACGCAGTGTGTTACCGTTAGACGTGCTCCTCAGCACATTCCATATCAGCGCAGAAGGCTCCAAACCCAAACAGGAAACTTCACTTCTTACATCTTTTCCGGGGTTAGCTCCAAGAATTCAGTGATTCCGATGCAAGTGAATCCCAAGCTGAAACCTTATGCGATTCATCCAAAAGCGGGAGATGTTAAGGGACGCAGACCCTAACGAAATCGATCGGATAGAGCGTTCAGCATTCCGGCTCCAAGATGATTCGCTTGTTTCATAGTCGTGACCTTGCCTCAACCAACAGTTTAGAGCCAAGTCGTTTCCGCACCTACCGTGAACGCGTCGGTCAAAGCATTACACTCCGCCAACTCCTCGAATACCGCCGAATTTACCACAGACCAGGGCTGCACTGAACTCGGTTGATTGACCTGGGTTATGGAGTTGTTTGCTTAAGAACGGGGTGTCAGGGAAGTATTGCGCCAACTTACGCGCACTTTACCTTCATATCTGGCAGAGTGAGAGTTTACGCCAAGCTTTCCTCGCCCTTCGTTGTTATTAGCAGTGTGCTACACGGCTGCCCTATTTCCTCGTTCCTCTTCAACTAGGAACTTCAGAGCTTTAGGAGTTTTCCAAATATTTTGCTTAGAGTTTCTACCGGGTGGGTGTGCGACCGACTACGATTATGCTGATGATATTGCCTTACTTGATGCTGACCCACAGAGTATGCAACTTACAGTGGTATTAGCCTAACGCGGGTGCTGACAAAAGTAGTGGCCTCAATTCTCGTTCCTATTCTCACTACGGAACAGGAAACCCGGATTAGCGTAGAGCATGCATGCTTCCGTCCAGGACATGACTGTATAGACCATAAATGCTCTCTGCGGCAGATGCTATAGCAGTGCCAACCATACTACAGACCGACAATTGCTGTCTTCCTCGACTTCAGGTGTGCGTTCGATTCAGTCGATCGATGCATTCTGTTCCACCTACTTGTGCGGTAAGGTGTTTCCATGAAATATGTGAACATTTTACGTGCTTTATACTCGAACACCACAGGCCGCATCAGGGTCTACGGTGATTTTTCGGATGCCTTTCCGACGACAAGTGGCCTCCGTCAGGTTTGCCCAGTTTCCCCTTATTTGTTCCATTTCGTCGTGGACTCCATCATGGAGTGTTCCCTTACGGAATCTCACGATGCAAGCATTGTTGTGCTGCCCGCTGAAAGGTTAGTTGATCTTGCTTATGCGGACGATATCATCTTGTTGTTTAACGGTGTTGGTGCGGCACAATAAACCCTGAATAACCTGTCTACAGTGGTCCCTATTATTTGGTATGTGCTTCGTACCTTCAAAGTGCAAAATGTGTTTATAGGACTACAAGCCAGTTAATGACCCCTTGAGAGCAAGGAACTTGAAGTAGTTGATCATTTCACTTACCTTGGCAGCTGCATCAGCAACGATGGATGCATAACCACTAAAGTCATTTCACGTGTTGCAAAAGCCAGAACTGCCTTATTGAACTTGCGACATCTTTGGCAACAGAAAGGAGTTTCTCTTCGTCGGAGAAGCCGTGTATACAAGACCACAGTGAGTGCCGTTCTACTGTTTGGGAGTGAGACTTGGCCCCTTCGATCTGAGGCGTCTTTAAGTCTTTGATCATGGTTGTCTGCATAGCAGTGTTAGTGTCCGGTGACATCAGCGTGACCGCAACGATGATGTGCGTAGCCAAGTACTAGGCGGCGATAAGCAAGCTAGTTTCTTAGAACGACAAATAGCACTAAATAAGTTGGGTTGGCTTGGGCACCTACTACGTATGCCCTTTTCACAGCTTGCCGAGGAGGGCCTTGTTTTGTCGGCCAGATGTAGGGTGGCGCAAGGCTCGAGGTAGTCAGAAGTTGATTCTGCAGCGAGAAATTAAGTCACTGACGATCAAACTGGGTGCAGTCGGTCCGTCTCGCCTTCTAGACTGGAGCCCATGTGACTCGCCTTGTGCTTGGCTCGAGACGTTACAGGACATCACTCGCAGTCGACGCCAGTGGCGCATCTGCTGCCGACTCCTAGTCGTCAGCTGTTTTAAATTGTGTTTTTTGCTGTTATCTACGGGGTTATGACAGATTATGACGCGTGGCAGTAAAAGCCGCAAGAAAGCTGTCTCGCTGATGCCGCCTTATCTTTGCACGATAGCCATCTATTTGTGGCGGTGTGTTGTTGGCAAGGTGTAGGCGCCTTGACCGTGAATGTTTGCTTAGGGCATTAATGTTTCCCGCTAAGTCCCCCTTCGCTCCCTCTTATTATTCTTCCTTCGGTAGGTCGTTATGGTTGTATGGCAGAAGAGCATCAGTTCGAATTTCTGATGTACCGCGGTCGATGATGATGATGATGATGATGATGATGAGGAAGAGGAGGAGGAGGAGGAGAAGGATGCTGCTGCTTCTGCTGCTGATGATGATAATGATTATGACGATGATGATGTCGGTGGTGATGACGATGATGATGGTAGATCGTTTAGCAGTTGAAGCATCTAATTATGGCGTGCGTTTCGCCCCATTGAAGTGCATAGTGCTACTTAGGGCTTAGCCCACACTCACTCTCGTGCTCACCCTTAAGGTATACAGCTTAAATCGGTAGATAGTTTCGTCTACCTTGATAGCTGCGTTTCCACTGGTGGTACTACCATCAAGGAAGTTTCTCTTCACATCGCTAAGTCCGATCAGAACTTCCTAATATAGGCCTCTTGTGATGTCTACGAGGCGTCTCCGTCTCCATAAAGAGCCGTGTTTACAGTGCCTCTGTTCGTTCTGTGTCGTCGTATGAGAAGGAATCCTGACCAATTCGCGTGAAAGACGTGCGCCGTTTTTCCGCCGTTGACAACGGTTGTCTGAAGATGGCTAGTGTGTGGTGGTAATACCGAGTTCACAGTGATGACGTTCAACGTCGCGTCTTGGGGAATACCAGTACTCTCTTCAATAAGCAGGTTTTGTTGCGCTAGTTGAAGTGGCTCGGTCACGTCCTACGCATGGCACCTGAGCATTTGCCGCGCCGTGCTCTATTCACTCGTTCCGAACCGGGCTGGAAGCGACCGCGTCGTTTTCAGTCTTTCACCTGGCGACAGCACTTGAAATCCCTGACGTCACATCTAGCTGCCGTTGGACCCGTACATCTTACTGTATGTGGACGCAATGATGAGGAATGCCAGTGTATTAACACGTCTCACTGGAAATGACAAAAAGGAAAAAATTCGGCGTGCGAATACCAAACAAATAGCATTTTGTTTCCTTGATCGGATTGTATTTCCCCTTGATTCTCGTGGTTTTTTCGTTGCTTCCATGCTTATTTTTTACAGTTGATTACGTGTATATGTATGTAGAAGAACACTATAATCAAACAATGTAGGTGTCTAGCATATTGATGACTAGACCTCTGGAATTGAAATTTCATCATTGCTGGGTAGGTCGATCCATATTACTCCACTTTCTTCCAGAACTACTAGTTCCAGCGTAAAAGTGCGCCATTCTCACTCCCATGAGTTCAGTAACCGTAGCATTCTATGTGAGATCTTTTGTCTTAGCCGCTAGTCACCAACACTAGTGGCGATTCATTTTTGGACATTCTCGCAGGCATTTAGCATGGACTAGAGTTCATCTTGTTTCGCTGAGGCATCGCAACTCACTTTGGCAAATGACAGACACCACTGGTGCACACCTGTCCTTCTGTGGCCTCGTTTGCGTACACAGGAACACCTGACTTTCTCAGTGCATTACTGCCTACGGCGTTGTGCGGCATGGTGCATGCATATCGAACGCTTGTTGCTTACAATCCGATTCAGTGTATTTTGACTCTTCGTGTGATTGGCTCTATTCCTACTTGCTCTTCTTTTTAAAAGCACACCCAAATGTCTGTTAAGTCTTCTTCTAGTGTCTTGCTTTACACTATGGCTTTTGCACAGTGATCGAGACAATTTATTCTTCACTATTTCGCAAAATTGAATCACGAGTTGTACACACTCTTTTTCCCGGGAGCATAACTCTGGTTGATTTTTGCTCGCTTGTCTATAATTGTACCACTGCTGCATCGCTGCAGGTGTGGAGGGACACTTGTTGCCTCCGGTACCTGTCTGTTTCTGATTGTTGGTTCAGAACCTTCTTTCACACACACCCTATCTCTCATTTGTAGCCAAATGACGGATGAAACGCCTGAGGATAAATGGCCTTTACCTGCCAAACAGGTACACCATATGGAAGTCTCCAAAACCCCAGAGCTACCTGTGCCTGCAGTTGTGTGGCGAATCTTCTTGATCTTGTCGTAAGTTGCGCTTTTTCGTTTTGGTCCACTTCATCACTCCATAGCCTACGGTGGTCCTTTTACCTTGTGCTACTTCATCAGGGTTTTTCTCTACTCGTCCTTCACTATTCTGGTTCACCTCTGCGAAGTGGATGGCCATCTGTCGTTTCGTACCACAGCTGTTGTTCTGCTTACCGAATCGCTCAAAGTGAGTCTTCATTTGTGCACTCCCTCACTAGACGTAAAAATGTCTCTAGCTACATGGGTTTCCTTTCTTAAGTTTGGCCACATCTATTATAATCCCTCCAACTGGCCAATGGAATGACCACATGGCTTTCGGATACTTGTTCGGATGCTAGTAAATGTTCATTTGTGGCTTTGTCTGGGAACCGTATACTCTTTCCAAACTGCATTTACTTTCATTGGCCGTCGCTGCGGCTGTTCGCCTCCAATTCATAACCATGACTCGTAAGACAGCGGAGAGTGTATTTGCTGCATTAACCTTAGTCAGTCAATAACCTCTGGTTCCAACACCTTTTTTGTTTGTCTGAACTAAACAATGGTTTCGAGGTGGTCAGAGAAAAATGTCAATGTACGCTGCTGGCCAATCCCAGAAGGATCAAGATCATGCCTCTGTTTGTAATGGATTCCGTTTTAAACACTTAAACTCCCATGATTATCGCCATTATTTGATTACTATACGAGTAACTATGAAAGTAGGTGAGTAACTGCACTACTATTTTGCGAAAAACCTACTTCTTATTAAGATAGATTAACCTGAACATTCCTTCGTACGACAGATAATATGTGTGATTTTGTTCTCCACATTTATCAAGTGAAACGTGAACCAAACTCGTCTGTGTTAGGTTGGAATGTCGAGGGAGAGGGTATTGGTATCGTTCATGTCGGTCTCAGTGGCTCAGTGTTTTTGGGGAAAAATCGTTGTGGTCGTCGCGCGCGTTCATACCCAACGAGTACGCAGAATCTTCTCAGGAGTTTTACTGGCTTCAGCGTCGTCTCTGTCTAGCTATACTAGTCTCGTCTTATGATCCCGAAATGCCTCCGCTGTAGCTCCTGAGTCAACTAGTGGGTGCCATAATCGCTATACGTGCGAACGATGTTGGACTGCTCTTAGCTGACTACATGAATATGAGTCAGGACGCGAGTGAACATTGGTTCAGTTGCAAATGCGCGAAGTTCAACTGGACGACCATTTTGAGGGTAGGTCCTTTACATATTGCCACCGAAAATCAAATCTGTGGAATTAGAGCAGTAGAGGGAGACCGAGTTCCAGGACAGTGTAGTGTGGATCAATATAAATTGCTATCGCTCTCTTTCGTAAAAGTGCATAGCATTTTTACCTCTTCTTTGCGTCTGAAGATCGCTATCGTTTCCAAACAAGCTCTCTCCTTCTCCGCCAACTCTCTGGTCACTTTTCCATACTTTTCGTAACCGCTTGTCTGTGTTAAACTGCACTTATCCCTACAACATCATTTTTGATCCTTTCTGTTTGCTACCTAGTATGCGATTCTTAGTATCCGATGGCTCTACATACAACGTTTTACATCCCATTATATATAGCCATCATTGTTATTGAAGTTGCTTTCTGTGCTAAGCGTTTAAATTCACAAGGGGAATGGGCAGAGGGGTAAATAAACGAGGTCTGGACAAGAAAAAAACATTGGATTACAAGCATGATACAAATGCTGGGACGCCATAATAACAGAGGACTTGGGATCTTTGATGGAACTACTGCTCACCATAGGTACGTATAAATTTCATGCGTTCCTTCGTTCATATAATATATCGCATGTGAACTTTTGCACTAACTAGAAAAACGTACGTTTATACGGTGAAACCTCCGAAGTTGACCACCTTCACATCACGACCACCCTTCTAAATTGACCGTTGTTTTCATTGGTTGGGCGTTCATTACGTAAAGCTTGTGGATCCAGACCTCTGTATGTTTTTTAGCTTTGTATACTTAGCGCTTTAGTCCACTCTCTTCAGTGGTCAACATATGGAGTGCTTTCAATGTTGATGTAAGCAGCGAAACGCTTGGTAGACTTGTGTAGTGCATTTCCACTGCAGTCAAAGCAGCAAACAACGCTGGCAGTGGATAACGGTATCATTTACGTGCAATCAGCAATACCGAAATGTCTGAACCTCTGTAATTTCCGCTTCTAGCCCAGTTCCACATCAACGACTTGCTACTCTTTTCAAATAACCAGCAAATATTGCCTCAAAATGGCACATATACAAACTTGCGGCTTCATGATGGGCGGCGTTTTATGTAATGCATGCGTTAAGGGAGCTAACCAATCAAAAGTTGGAGACAGATGTATGAGCTAAAGGGTACACGTATGAAAGTGTTTCGTGCGTAATAACTGACATCAATATTCCAACGGTGTGAAATCAGTGGTCTTACAATGGCAAAGCGTCACATGTATCACAAACTTTCGTGTTCCATACGCTTTACTACGCACATTTGGGTGCAGTCGACAGGCCAAATGAATTTACCTGGCGGGCCGTAGTTTGGTGACCCCTGACTTCGACCGACCTGATTATCTGGACATTCTAGCCTTCCCTGCACCCGCCACCCTATCTTATGACTCGCCGTAACGTCGACTGCCTCGTCCAGCGAGCGTGCAAATGACTATCCGACCCTTCAGATGGCCAATGGGATGAATACTACCCATACGTTCCGAATGGAGTAAAGGGCCCCTAACTTCCTCTGCGCTTGGTGGCCACATTCGGCTACAGCTGTTACTTTTTTGCACATTATCCGACTACTGCAACAACAAGCACCTAATATTTAGACATTCTATATCTCTTACATTAATAACCACCGTTGCTAATGGCTACCGTTTGGGACGGAAACACTCCATTGCTCCTTTCTCAGTGTTGAACCAGATGGCCCCCGTAGCGACCGCTACCAACACGCCGCCGATTCCCTATCTCCACATAACACACTCAAGGCAGCGTTCTCTGTACAGCTATTCACTGTGGGCTCGTTCGCCAGCTTACGATTGTGCTCTTAGAACCAACTTCCCACAACCGGGCAAGCGTGGCGTGCACGTCGAAAGTATACGGCTTCAGTGGTTATTATTGGATATTTGACCCTGTTGAACGAGCCACCAGGTTGCTTCTGAAGTTACTCTGTCTTTGTATACTGCGTGTTTCCGAGGCTTTTCTTTTAAGTTGTTTTGTTTCAGCTGTGGATAAGCACCATCTGTATGTTTCGCGATTCTGTTTTCGGAAACCTGCGCACAGCATTAGTCAGATGACACTTCCGGTCATTCACTTACCTTCCGTCCATTGCCCTGACTGATTTCTGTCGTTTGTGGTCCCCGCCTTTACCGTTTCGCCACAACCGAGAAGCCTAACGGCCCCACTCTACCATTTCAGTTCGTCTTGTCAGTCTGCTTGTTTTCAATCTCTCGCCGTCCTTATGGGCAACCAAACAATCATCGCCGAAGTCTTCTAACAGACATTCAACTGGAGTTGCAGCAATACAGTCATCAAACTCCAACACCCGGTCAACTTCCGTCCGTTGACACTCTGGCTCCGCTGCCTTTCAGTCCTCATCATTTGCTGGTTATCGTATTACCATTTACCGTTCCCGCAGTGCTGTACGCAGTGAACAATAACTTGGGAATGTATCTACAACTGGAGATGGATCCGGCGACATATCAGGTGCTGGGGAATTTCAAAATTCTCAGCACAGCCACTTTGTTTCGTCTAATTATTAAACGGTGAGAGCTTTTCGTCATTGCCGTCACTTGTTCTTTCCGTAATTTATGTACTCCCATATTTCTGTTATGTCCCCGATCCGTGTGGGTCGTAGACTGGTTAGCCTCCGTTACACATGAGCCTGTCAGTGGTTTATTTGGCGACTGCCCAGCATCTGTTAGTAGACTATCGCTCTGTCGTCGTTCTGGTGGATGATTGTTACGATTTGCTTTTTAGAGATCACTTTGGGATAGCGATAAATTTGTGTTTATCGGTTCGGTTCGATTCTATACACCCAGCTTCATCCAAATACGATATTTCCCTATCATCTTTACCGTAGCACGAGGTTGTTCAGTGTTTTATTTTGAATTAACGACCCTATCGCCTCGTTTCCAACTAATGTTCTAGTAGTTCCTTTCAACTGTCGTAATAGTTCTGTGAAGCGAAAAGTTGCTTGTGTAGTGGGAACCGAACGACTTAGTTCCCTTCGCACTTAAATGTACGCCACTCCGATTTTCGGTGTTATTTTGCACCCATTCTCCCCTATCTCTAGTTTCTGTCGGTACATTCTCCGATGATTTCGATAATGCAGCTTTTCTACTTTCGTCATTAGTTGGTACCGTGAAGGCGCGTACTATGGCAATTGCCTGGTTAACCACACTTCGGTATTCAAATGGACTGGGTCTCTGAAGGCTTAATTTCTCGTCTCAGTTTGGCCCATATATAGCTATGCACGCCATGATACTTTCAGCCCTTTTCTACTTGGCCCCAAATACCCACCTATTATTTTGTTTCACATGTACAGATTATGGAACTTAATTCACCTTGTTAAGCCCACATAATCTAAGTGTGCCTTTTATGCCGTCGATCACGCAGTTATAAATAAATAAAGGATATATTCCTCGACGGTGCGACACATAGTCCAGCTGGTTGGTCTAGTCATTATGTACAACCGAATCGCATGGGACGGGTAATCTATCTTACCGTTCTTTTTTCAGAGCAGCACCCAAACTATTTTGCGGGGCTGACTGATCGGTTGCATATTTCAACTAGATGGATTGCTTGCTACTACTACTACTAATAATAATAATAGTAATAATAATAACTAAATCTTGCTACTCACGAGAAATGCAGATAAACCTAAATGTTGTAGTAAAGTAATACGGCCAACTGTGGCTTCGTCTCCAGGGGACCTGCTTCCATGCAGCTTAGTCCTCTCCCACTCGTCCGTGGACCTGGATTTTCTCACCCATAATCCCGAGCTCATAAATACTAATTTCTGCTACCTTTTGATGCCCGTTTTGAATCTTGAAGTCACTTTGTAGGCAGTTGATCGCGTGGCATAGTGCTCACCGTACCGCTGTTTTCCAAAGTTTCACTCACTTCGTTTTCTCCTTTCAGGCCAATCAGCACAATTCAGTGGTTCTCGCTGCTACTGCTTCTGATTGCTGGATTTGCCCACAGGTATGTTCAACCATGTATACTTTTTGCCATTTTTTCCACCCCGATGAAGTCAATTTTCTACAATGCGAAGACTACGCATGAATTTCCTTTGTCACTCTACGCGATTCCGTGTAAAAATATCATTCTTGAAGAACCGGGGGATAGACGAACCCTGAGAGCCATTTGCTTGTTGGCATACGATTAGGTACAGTCCGCTACGGGATCTACTAAGTACAGGCTACCAGAAATACGCTAATATGGTTTTCCTTTGGCACTGAATATGACGGACTGATCTCTACCTTGAAACCACTTCCCTTCGGGAATCGCGTTTGCATTCACCGGCGCACTCTTTTCATTCCTTCTGAACGTGATTGTTCCCTACACCAACCGGATGCATCGGACTATGTTGCTTCCCTCTTTCAGGTCTCAATGCAACTGTCATATGGATACTGGCAACTTGTGGATGGTCGGACTCAGCATTTCCTGTTGATGGGTACACTGTGTCAACTTGCACGTGCTTTCTACCCGCACTTTATCACTACACATTTTGTTCCCCCTAACCTCATTCAGTCCTCCGTTCATGCACATGAGCATCTTAGTAAGCATCCAGGATGGTTAACCCTTTTTACGTGCAGTTCCATCGCATTCCCGTGTTTTATCCCCTCTTCTTTCCTTTGTGCCCGCGACTGGACCGATTGCCTAGGTGACTTACACCTTTTACACTTGTGCTTTAGGCATCCACTTGGCTACAACTGGGCTGTAGAATAAGTTGCCCCAAAAATCTTCTACCTCACCACACCTTTGATCGCCGTTCATACATTCGGAACTGCCACTGCATTGATCCATGGTCTTGGCGATTTCCGAATCCTAATGCTATTCTGTATTGATAATATCTCATAGCATCATTCATGGACATTCCATTGGACGTGTTTCAATCCAGTCATTCAACGCGTACTGTTCGCTCTCGTCATATGTGATCTTACGCCATAACTCTGGATCCATTCACCGTGTCTGAACATATCTCGGTGTATAATGCTTATCTGATGTGACAATTGTCATTTAGCGTGATAATACTACCTCTTAACCACACTCCCTTCTATTTCCCAGCTACGCTAACCTTTTCACAAAGAATTCCTTCGTTTCAAGCACATTCGTTGATGTTGTCCACACCATGCATATCACCACACTGGGAATCATCCTGATCTCCATCTACTGCACTATTTCCGGTCTGTCAGGTGTTTACACTGAATATGTGATGAAACAGCGAGCTCAGGTATGGTGATCTACGGATTTTTTATCTGTTTTCTCCCAGTTTTCCATTTTTTCTCACATAAAAAGGCTTCAAGAACCTCATTCCCTTTTTTGAGACGAAATCCATGCTTCTGCGTCGTAAGGTAACCAGAAATTAACGTGGGGCGACGGTTTGTTTACCTCTTCGACCCATTGAGCCATACTGGGTGGTTCCACTGGCCCCCTTGAGAACTATTCCTGCCAGGATAGTCAGTAGCTACTGGTCAGACGAACTCAGTCCTCCGGTCCTCCAGATTTGGGGTTTGAAATTGGATATCCTCCGTTTTGTTAAAACCGAATCGTTGCTATCCCCATCCCCGTTGCCTTCCAGACAGGCCGTTGGGCCAAATGCTTTAGTTGAGGACTCTGATCGTTCTCCTGTCTACTTCTGTTCGATCTGTCAGTATCTCAGCTCACGTGCAACCACGATTATTTTATCTCACTTCAACCACATCCTGCATCGGTAATCGCGTAATTTTACAAGGATCACTTTATCTGCTGCATACAACAGGGTTGACAAGCGAAAACATACTACTGCTGACGCCTCCATTCTTTCTTTTACCTCTCAACCCTTAATACTATCCTTCCACCTATAATTTCCAGCTTAATTGACTTCAGCTGCGACACTAGTTTGGCCGTTTGCAACTATGTTCTTGCATCTCCTAGTGGACGCCTATTAGCAACAGCTTCTTATAAGGCCACACTATCCGGTTTCCATTTAAGCGTTCAGCGTTCGCACTCTAAGAGAAATGAGTCAACAGGCTGCACTCGTGCGCACATTGGATACCTTGGGTATTGACGTGTGTTGTGTACACGAAACTAGACTCAATTGCCCTTACGTAGTTGTGGAATTAACTTCGCCCGAGTTGTTCTCTCTGATGTACTACTGTCGGAGGCGATTATGATATTCGTGTTTCTGGTCGTGCGCTATTGCCGATCTCTTTCTCTCTACTGCACTTTTTAAATAGCTACATCTCGAATACATCGCCTTCGTCCGTCTCAGCTGCTTAGTTAGAGCCCGCTTTGATTGCATATGACTCTTCCGAGTGCACGCTGAGTCCTATTTCCTAGTCTCATATATTATGTACCCACTACGGTGGAGACATACTTATCAGTTTTTCCACCTAGGTGTTACTTTACATCTTCCATCGAGCTTTGAGCGTTTCATGACCAGCAATATCACAAAGCGTTCCTTTTATGGGGACACTCACTGTTGTATTTTTCTTCTTCCCGCTTCGGTGATCGAACCCACCTCCTCTATTCATCAAAATATGCTAATTATATTTTTAACTAAAAATTCATACCGAATACATTTACTCAACACAAGACAATACGATGTTGGAGAGGTACATTCTTTTGTCAGAACCATACCACCAATGGGGCCATGCCTGACTGTTTGTTGGCTTCAGCTTATTGCAATATTCCCCACTGCACGGACACTGAGAGAGTGCTTAGAAGTAGGTAGCTTCGTTGTCCGAACACTTGTCTCAACAGTGTACTACTTCAGTGACCTACCTACTCTACAATCCTGCACTTTTGATAGCAACTCGGTTGTGCGATGATCGTTAAACTTACAACTTCCTCGCGCGGTTTCTCAACCGATGTTCATTTTCAATGATAAAAGTCGATCACCCTTTCCACTCGGTCTGAGTTCGCACTACAGTCTTACACCTCGAATTTTCTTCTCACGCTTCATGGATGAGCGCACCTTGAGAGGCATACATAGACATTTGCCAATAACTGCTTATTTATCTGTTTATGTTGTTCCAAGATCTGTCACATGAACCATCTGCCAACACAGGTCTTTCAAATCTTCCGAATCTCTCCCTCCGTTTATACATGGTTGGTGGTTTTCCTTTAGTCGAATGCTTTCCCCAGTGCATGCCATTCTATTTCCGTTTCCATTTTCAGATGAACATTCACTTGCAGAATGCCTTGCTATATATCTTTGGGGTACTCGTCAACACAGTCATGTACTTCTACGATGTGCATCGAGCTTACGGTAGGTGCTGCTTTTGTTTGGCGCATTTGAAGGCCTACATTTGTTATAGATTATTGTAATGTTACACCTTCCTTTTATCTGATGCTGCATTTTCAACAGAAAGGCTTTTTCATGAAAGGCTGTTGCACACATAAGTCAATCACACTTTTGTACGTTGACTTCCATGTTCTCTAATCGCCTCTGCCTTGGCGTCTAACTGTGTCCTCCTTGCTTACCACAGTGTGCGTTCGGCTGTTCACCGTGTCGATCCGCTACGCGGCCGCGCATATGCCTTCGTACGGTACGACCACTAACCAGTAGTTTACATCACATGCGGTTTAACTGCATCCACATTTCCTTCCGGATTCACAAGGTCCCCGCTACTCTCTGTGTGGCTTCCAAGTTCAGCATTACCACTCACATTTTTAAAGAATTTCGCTGAATTGTATCCACCTGTTGCCTCCGCTATCGCATCTATTGTATCCTACACTAGAGCAGTTCGGATTCGTTGGGCTTTTGGTTCAATGACATTGCGTTTCGGAAAACCACCGGTCTATCGACGCACTCGAGTGGTATGGGCTCACTTCTTTTTTTCCACCTCACGTCAATCATCAACCGGACATAATTGTTGCAGCAATGGCTAGATGTAATCCAAGTACTCCGCCTCTTCGCGATCACGGGAAAACGCGTCAGTTAGGCAGTATTGGTAACTGCGACCAGTTGCACTACTGTGTACGCATTGCCGCAACGCCTGTCTTCAGCCACAGCTTGATTCTTAGTAAATAACACCCGAAGGATGTACGCATGCATGCGCTCTGTATGCAGCAGATTCAGAAGACAGTGATGTGGCTAAACTTATCTACATGGGGATTATGCTACCACTGTTGTAGCCTGGCTCTTCGGTTACTGTTCCTCATATCGCTTTCTGATCCTTTGCATTCACCGCTCTCGTATCATCTAACTCTTCTTTGAATGCCCACGATGCCATTTCCCATGGTTTCGCTTCGTGCTACACCGTCAATTCTGTGTTACGATCTACCACCAGCGACAATTTCGGGCTGATTCAATTTAAGCGGTATAAGAGCCTTAGATTTTTGGTCATGCTTTGTACGATACTCTGATTATTTAATGTTTCCTAACTACCACTTCCACTTGTGTGCACCCATTATTATTATCCGTATGTTTTAGGCAGCTTCTGTCGTCCATACACTCGATTAACGCTGTGATCAGCATATACTGCTTCTTTGTCGGCACATGTGTCCATTACTATTTGGTGCCTTTTTTCCCTCCTTTCTTCTCTTGTAGAGAGTGATTTCTGGAATTTGACGAAGGGTTTCTCCATTTGGACTTGGTTACTTATCGTCACACAGGCCATCTGTGGCATATTTATGGGATTTGTGATGAAATTTGCAACAAACATCACTCGCTTGTTCATAATCTCCTCCGCAATGATAGTCACCACATTTATGGCCATGTTGGTTTTCGGGCTACGGTTAGACGCACTGTATATTGTTTCCTTCTTGTTAGTTACTCTGGCATTGTATCTCTATCATCGATAGTCTTTCAATAGACTTATAACTTTGACGCAGCCTGTCTGCTTTATACACACATTCTTGTTTATGACATTTATCTTGACTTGTTTCAAGTCGTAACTTGCTTTGTTTTTTTTATATTTTATACCGGAATATGATGCCAAAGATGAAATATAGCTCGTTACGTTAAACGAAATTGCGACTTTCTGTAGTTGCTCCCTAATAATGGGTTCTGATCATGCGCCTCCGTTCGTTGACCGAATTAGCGCGATGACACTTAACCTGTGACCTGATACGTTAATTGACAAGCTATAAAGCCACCTTCTTCGTCATAGCTTTTGGTATGTATGCCAAAGCGTTCCCCCAATGTTTCGCTAGTATGAAGGGGTGCTTCAGTGTGCTGGCTATCGGTATCCGATCTGGTGGATGTTGGTTATCAGGTAGACGCACTGAATACCGCGCCACTTACAAGCCTCTATCATACTGTGATATAATATTGTTGGGATGTGCACGGTCAAGTTAGCTGGAAGATGTTATTGAAAACTTCGGATTTGGTTACCTAAGGGAAACATGTGAACTGGGCCGTATAGCTTCCAAACAGGGCATTCGAAACGCAAGGCGTCGCGCACCCCAGTATTCATATGATTCGGCATCCTATTCCTGAAGGTCATTAGAGTGTTCGTCTCCTGCTTCACGGCTCCTACTGTGTTGATAACACTTGCTATACAAACGTACAAACCTGCAAGTGATTTATTTCCTCCTTATCTTCAAACCACACTTGGGAAGATCTTCACTATATTCGCTTATGACACCATACGAAAGGTTGTTTTTTAGGCTAGGAAATTTTGCGCACGCTAACGTGCAGAGAAACGGTACTGCTGTTGTTGCAGTTTGATATTCTCCAAACCCGTGTATCACTATGATAGCATGTTTTGTCTTTACTTTGACCCATTAGTCTGTAGTGACTTTGACACATGGATAACGCTGGTAGGATCCCATGACGCGAAGTCGAGTTTAACACGTTCGTAGTTAAGTTCACGACTATGCCGTTCCTCATTTTTCGTAAAAGCAATATCGCTGTCTGAACTGAACTTAGTTCTTCGAACGGAGTAATTTCAAGAAGCGTACTTACTACTATTTGTTTGCGGGCCTCCGTTTTCTTTGCTTCACCATCAATCAGGGCGGTACCTAATCTTGCTACCCCTGTTACACCACACCTCCGTAAGTTGACCACTCAAGTCTCTGGCCCAAGTGGTAAACATAGAGATTTGGATCCATAAGGTTTAAATGGGGCACGTCCAAGCAATAACAAACCGGTCAACTTAGTGAAGTGGTCAACTTCTCTTTAGTAGCTCACATGCCACCTCCATTGGCGGCGGTTTGCAAACGAAGTCGTAACTCTGGGAGCCAGCGCTGTCCTTTGCACGTTCATACCATGCATAACAGTGGAGGATGATTTGCACTAGATCGGAGTTAGATATCAATCATGGCGGTCTGCTGCCGTTACCCACGACTCAGTGGCACAGGTTGCTAATTCGTAAGAGTAAGGTCGTGGGTTCGAATTCGAAAGGATTCGGCGGACGCGCGCTGCTGATGACTTCAATGTAACCAACCGGCCGTCTAGCGCTTTCCTGGATATGTAGTGGTTGTCTAGCCGAGATGGATCTTCACAAAAGCAAAAAGTCCCCCACTACTCTCTAACAGGTTTTACTATAGTTACTGTTTGTGGTGAAGCTATTGACCACTTGGTTTTTCTAGAGGGCGCTCCGCTGGCTGACTCGTTAATGCTTTCTTCATGATGACAAACTGCATGTGGAGTACGCCAATCGAACGATTGCCGAATGCTTAGTTTAGCAACGAATGAAACGAGTGCGCAGTGTAATGTTCAATTTTGCCAATAATAGTGTCCGTACACCTCTTTTAGATCAAAGTTATGCGGAGTCGTTCGAATGGTAGCGTCGAAGAGATTGCTAGGAAACAGAATAGCTCCTAAAAGGTACTTAGAATCTTCCAGTTTTTGGCGGATCAAACATCACTGGTATGAGTTTCGGTGCTGGATTCGGAGGCTAGATATTGTCCACGGTCCGTGAGTACTAGCTACCTGAAGAGTTTTGTTACTCGTTCCCAACACTGCACTGCAGTAATCCGAATGATTTCAATCGGGATTGCATGTTGCGCTAAAAACGTACGGGGGTAGTCCGAAACCTAATAACATAGGTATGATACTTACTTTCCGTCACACTCTATATCTACTAACTTTGACAACAAACCATCACATACACGTTTCTTTGCCCATCCAGTGCATAACAGGAGTATAACCGCACAACACTTTTTGTTCAGCTCTCAAGTTTTTACCGTTTTGCGTCCACGAACATTCCGTAATTGAAGCGGCGTTCATTGAATTTGTGGATTTAACACTATTCTCTCGTGACTATTAGTTAGTTAAGCGAATTCCAATCCGTTCACGGCGTCCGCAGTGAATCGGTCTTCTGACGTGCTCCAGTTTCCTATCTCGGTAAAATAACACCATGTCGAAGCATCATAGATTTGACATTCCACAGTTTACGTATGACTAGTGACATGTGAACTGCCAGATAACTAGACAGACTGAGTTGTTTTTGCCACTACGAACCTCACTAGCCCAATGTTCCCGAAACTTCGATTGGAACAATGAACAATGTTTTATACGGGTTAAGAAGCTCTACTTTACAAGCCCCGTGGAGTAGTCTGGTGGGTTATCGAAAAAGGTTAATAACAATATGCAATCTGTAATTCTACTGTCAAAATAGTGCACTTCTCGTATGTAATGCAGTGGTCCTGCACTCCAAGTGTTTCCATAGCTTCCACAAGCGAAAAAGATAACTCCAAAATATTTCCCAGAAGTAGGATGGAGAGTAGTGTAAAGTAACCAAATGTACTTGACAGCGTGCGTCATCCAACCGACTTTTATATATGACTAGCGTTGATGTAGAATCAACCGAGCCTTGGAGAGCGTTCCATGGTTGACACACACTAATAGAAAAGAGATTTCCAAGGCACGCCATACGGCTGTACTGTTCTGTTAATTTCAAGGAGTGGTCCCCTAAGTTTGATGTTACTACTGAGTTGCAGTAAAGAGCGGCGCACGTGATTTGGATTGTGCACAATCAAATGTGTCGTAAGCAAATCACCTCGTAGTCGGCGATACCGCCCGGTGAATAATCCCAAACGTTTCAGCCTCGACTCATACGGAAGGTGGTGCATTCCAGTGTTGTATCTAGAAGCCCGACGTTGTGGTTGGTCCAGTGCAGTAAGGTCGTGCTTCAGCCATAGCTGCCAGCCTTAACTTGTGTATTCGACATGGAGGCGAACAAACGCATCCAACATCTGTCTGAAATATTGGTGTCTAGTGGTCCGAACGCCCGTCGTAGCAAGTCCACATGCTGGTTGTCGGTTTTCGATGCTTTTGCGGATTGCTTGGAACAACCCAAATTATCCTGAACAAGCACGCTAAGGTCGCGTTCGACGGATGGTCGCTGCAGTACGCGTTCCAAACTTGTAAGAATACGTATTGTGATGTCGTACGCAGATTATCTTACATTCGTCCACGTTGAAGTGTTAAATCTTTCGGGTTGATCACTCATGTACCGTATCTACGTCACTCTGAAGTAAATTCTGACCGGTATCCGCCTGAATCCGGCGCCATATCTTGATATCGACAACGAACAGTAGGAACTTTGAAGCAATTTCCCGTGCTCGGTCATTGCTTAATACCAAAAACAATCGTGGACATGGAACTGTGCCATGGGGCACACCAGACTCATTTGGTATGGGTTCAGAAAAGGTACTCCAGACTCTAACCACTAATTGTCGTTGCGGAAGAAAGTTGGCGTTCCAGATCAAGAGGAGGTCACTGATCCCAGAATATTGTAGCTTGGAAAGGAGAATCCGATGATCTAAATGATCGAATACCTTCGACAAATCCAAGTAGATCACATCAACTTCCTCTTCAGGGTCAGCCGACTCGGTCCAACTACTCCATGCGATTAATAGTTTCGTTGTGCACGATCGCTGTCGACGAAGCCCTGACTTATGACTGATTATGTTCGGGTTCATTGCATAGCAATATTACGCACGCGGTTGGATAAGCTAACAGCTTAAAACCATTGGTTTCGGCAAATTTTCACTCAGGGGTATATTGAATATTACGTTTAATGAACCTTTGATCGTTTAACCAACTTTCAGGTGGCTAAAGTCGACATGCTGTGGGACCAGTGGAATATACCTGTGCTTAAAATCAGCCGATCTAATCCATCTTATCCCTTAAAGGTTCAACGAATTCGCCAGAAGGAGTCTACCCATTCTTTCACATCGACTATTCACGGCTTGATGGGTCGCTTTGAGCACCGCTGCCCTACCACACCAAGCACATCGTCTCCACCCATCCCCAAATATGTAAACTCATATTTATATCTTCCTGTTGCGAAAAACTGGTTACATCAGTATCGCACACTTGTTAACTGAATATCACCGACCGTATTGCATGCTACCCAGCAGTTTACAAGAGGTAAGAGGACTGTGAACACAGTAATATCTAGAATGCCCTTTTTGTAGACAGTTCAGTGCACACAGGCAAATACTAGACGGTGATGCCAATTGGGTAGTCCAACCGACTATCACGAGTTGGGTCTGTGGGGTACACGATGCGCAAGCACGCCATCGCTAGCGGTAGCGTTGAGGGGAATCTGGTGCGTGAAGCTTCGAAGAGGGATGTCTCTACGTTGTTGGTCGAAAGCATTTAACGCCCCATGTATTTTACTCTTGAAGGTTATTTTGAATTACTCGACAGAATTGTTATCTGCGATGTGTATCGGAGCAACATACTGTTCCTGGCAATATATATATATATATATATATATATATATATATCTTGTCGAATTGCAACTCTATAACATTGACGTTTCTTTTTATAAGTCCTGGTTTGATGAAGGGTCGCCTTATAGAGCCATTTGAATACTAATGGTAAACCAAGTATTATTTGTTAAATGGCCACACCCCAATAATAATCTATGTTAAAATGAAAGTGGCAAATAGCGATAATGTATCACCATCACGTTGTTTAAAATATGACATCGTCAGTTTGGATGTGGTTGGATTTTAATGAAGACAGTTTCCAATTCATGTCGTCCATTTCTGCTATACATGTGGACACCGTC